TTTATACTGTATTAGAACACACACACAAGCCTCATTTTGAATAACCACAACTCACAACTTCTTCTGATCTACATTATAACACGTGTTAAATGAGATGATTTCATATGATCTAAAAACATTATAAAATTAGCAAAATCTGAGCTTACTAAATTGTCAGATTTTACAACTTAGTATTTGAACATCGTTTTAGATTTTATAATTCATCCAACCGAGAAATTATAATCAGCTGCTTACTGACAAAATGACGGTTAGGCTCTTTAACATAATAACCTTCAAAGGGTAACAATTCCAAAATATAGAAATAAACATCATTATTTGCATACTTTTGAACAGCCTAAAAACCTTTCCCACATATGAAATATACACCCAAGCACAAATGGACATGTTAGAATGTTGCACCAAGAGAGGAATAAAGGTACGAACAATCAAATCACTCTTTAATTATGAGACATTGTCATCTTATCATCAATTTTATAAACTTCATTCGTAATACAAGCACATCACATTTTTTTACTGATATTAAAAACTTAAGCAGTCATGTCCAAACAGCAGACTCAATTTTACCGAGAATTGGCTGGTACAAATTTCAGTGAAATGCTATTGACACAATGGCGTTCGTTAGTGGGTGTTGGAAATCCTTCACCTTTAAAAACATGACCTAGATGTCCCCCACAAGCAGCACAGGTTATTTCTGTCCTCATCCCATCAGGGTCCGCCTGTTGATAAGTGGCTGTTAATTTTGTATACATTCGTTGATACAATTTAAGACGAGTGCCTTCAGATACTTGTTGACAATTCAATATAAAATCAGTTTTAAATAGAGTAAAGCTTTTCCAACATTAAAGCACACAAAAATTGATGTAGTTGCATAGATAGGTACTGATAGTATTATTGTCCAATTAGAATTGAAGTTTTATCTCAATAATACACATAATAATTTGTAGTAAAACTAAGCATATCTTGCCAAAATGAAACTCAAATTTTGATAGGTGAACGCTATGAAAGATATTGTATCTAAGTTTTGCCTTGTTTTAAATCCTACTTTTCATTTTCTTCAATTCTTAACAGGTGTTCTTAATTAGGCACTTGTTGGAAAAGGCTGTTAAGATAAAACTATACTAACTTACAGTGCGATTTATAGCCCCGGGAAGACCCTCATAGAAGGCTGGCCAGCCACAACCAGAATTGAATTTTGTAATTGACTTGTAGAGAGGAGTCCCACAACCAGCACAGTTGTAAATTCCCTCACCATAGAACTTGTCATACTCTCCAGTTCCAGGGAACCTGCACCAGATCAAAACATTTTCTTACAACAGAAACAGAATTTCCCATCTTGAATGAAACTAGTTACCATCTTCAAACTAACGCTGTTGCCATGGACTTTGTTGCTAAGAAAATTAAGAACCACCAAAAATTCGGAGCAGACTCAAAATTACTCAGATTTGTCCATTCCAAGCATCACTCTCTCCCCTCGATTTTTTCTCTGTGCATCTCTAACATTCATTCAAATTGCCAGAATCACATATGGAAAATTAGTCACAGCACATCTTGTGAGGGTCTTGTCACAGCACAGGACCATAAGCATATAGACAACATACTAATGAACGTATCTAAGAGAAAATTACATTGTAGCCTTCGAACCAGTTGAAATACTATTAGTTACGGTCGTCAGTGATAGTTAAAAGTCATTTATTTTTAGTTAAGTTTGTTAACAAGAGTTTTGGCAGATTTACCAGTATAAAAAGACCAAAATTGTATCATGAAATCAGTGAATGCAGTATCAATTTCTCCCAGCTCAACATTCTCTTTCAAGATGTACTTCAATTAGCTAGGACAACCCATTACTAATATTCCCTCTTACTACTGTGATCATAAAAACTAAGCAGTAAGACTACAGACATGGTTTTAAACAACTGTCCGCAACCACAACAGAAGCCATATTTGTCCACAATCTTCCATAATAACAAACATCTCGACTGCAGCTTAAAATCTTGATCACACTGTCAAGGGATTAACCTTTAGCACGCACAATAACTCAGCATATACCTTGCATGATACAGGAGTGAGTGAATTTTTGAAATCAAACCTTCCCAATTTAGACTTATTTGGATAAACTTTTCTATGAGCACTTATAAGAGAGAAATAATAAGAAAGTAAAATGCATTTAACTTCAGCATAAAGCTAAAATCAGCTTACACACTTCAATTTTTGGTGGAGCTAAAAGAAAATATCTTCACACAAGTCAAGTAAAGTTGATTTCATGTAGTGCCAAAAACTCAATTTATTATACTTACATTTTTCTTATCCTACTCATGTGAAGTTTATCCAAATAGCTTTTAATAAAAAAATGTATTTCCATGACTTCATTTCATTCTTGAATTTCGGCATAGAGGGCAACTCCGGGAAAGAAAATCAAGATTCGGAGAAACTTGACATACCCATTAATTGTCTGACGCGATTTCAACGTTTGAGAAGCTTAATCGATAAAAAAAAGATAAGAAATAACGGTTCTTACTCCGTGCCCTTTTGCCTGAGAATGCGAAACTGATCAGGGGAGAGAATTGCCTGCCACTCTTCCTCGGATTTGTGGAGTGAACCAGGTGCAGCCATGGCGACAATCCCACCTCGAAAACGACGTTTCGGTTGGAAAGAGGGTGACGCGAAAATTGAAAGAGTGGAAGAAGCAATGGGGTTTGGGAAGGAGAAAGATGTGGGAGGAGAAGAAAGGAGAAAATTTGAGAAAATGGGTTTGGAACAGATTGGAGTTGAAGAGGTTCTCAGAATGGTGAAGGTCATGGCTATGCTTTTGTGTTCACAGGGTCACCTTCAACTTTAACATTATAGTATTTATTCGCCTTTTTTTTTTTTTTTCCTGTGGACTCGGTGCCTGCTTTCATGATTTTCTTGGATTTTTTGGCTCTTAAAGTTTCTAGTAAATTATGTCTAGAAAATCTGCATCCTAAAATCGTGATAAGCGTTTTAGAAAAACAAAATGTCTTTCCTCCCAAAAAGTATAATATTTGTATTTCAAGGAACCACTCTTTCTTTTCACGAATCACGTTGTTATAAATATATTTTTCAACCTTATTAATTATTTTATCATTTATTTACTTTATGTGATTTGATTTCTTTGTTTAATCAAAATCCTCAATTTTAAGAGTACAAAAATATGAACTTTTTTTAATTTTAAAATTCAATAGTTGAAATCGATTGGTTAGTTTTATAAAATTTTAATATAATTTGGTCACAAATTGTATTGTTTTTATTTAAAAATAAATTATTTTGGTGTAGGATTTGAAATCACACTCAAACATTCATTCACAATTTTCTTTTATTCACTTAGTGTTCTTTTGAATATTTTTAACTAGATTATTGTTATTGTGAAAGATACTATGACACTCTGACACTCTGAAACTCAAGTTAATAATCTAGAAAATCATTTTCACACTAAAGTCCTAAATTTAAAAAAAAAAAAAGTTATCTACTTCATTACCTCATGCTTGTATTTATAAGTTTCAAAATAAATTTATTATCATTAGAACTATAATTAAAACCTTACATTTAATAAGTAAGACTTATCAATAATAAGCTTATTATAAATTTTACTTATAACTTCTCAGGGCTTGAGACCATTTGATCCTTCCATTATTTTGTGCTGAGTGTTGATATGTATGTGTATAACATAAATTAATATATATTAAAAAACACTTGATTATTAATTGTATTATACTTAATTTAAAATAAATTAATATCTATGAACACTTTTATTATTAATTAAATGAAAAGTAACTCTATTATTTATTTTTTAAGAACTGAAAAACTATATCAAACCTTTTATTGATAGTAAAATGAAAGTGAATGAAATAGATAATTAATAAAAATAATTAAGTTTATATATCTATTTAAGGTTTTCTTTATATAAACATTTAAATACAAACAAATTAATGTTAGAAGGTAATCCTTGAAAACAAATAATTAAGTATAAATATTATATTAAAGAAAAAGTACGAGTATTTAATTATTTATATGATAATTAGGCGAGTACGAAAATCATAGTATCTTATCCTACCTAATAATTACTATCAGTAAAATTTATTTAATTTCTTTTATTAATTAAATAATATAGTAAAAAATATATTAATAATAAAATAATAGTTTAAAAATTGATTTTATATATATTTTTATTTAGACTTATGATATTGAAGTTATTTTGTAATTTTTTAAAATTTACATCTCAAACGATTTATTTAAATTTATCAATTTATTTGGGTTACTATTTTTTTAAATAATTTGATTTAAATTATACTAAAAATATTTTTTTAAACTGAATTTACATTTAAAATAATTGTATTTAACATTTAAAATAAATAAAATATAAAACTATATACATATTCATGAGTATTCGTAAATATAAAAGTAAATCCCAATTATTTTTCAAGGATAGTAAATAAACTATTCAGACCCGTTGGCATTCTTTATTTTAAAATATTTCATATTTATATATTATTCTATTATTTTAGTGGGTAATTATTAAAAACATGTATATTTAAAACCATTGAATACATAAACATTTTCCTTTAATGCTTTAAATGAAATAACAGAAACATACCTTGAAAGATTTATAGAAAAGGACCCTAGATACGAATTTAACATCATTAAAGTTTGATCTATTATACATATACATATATATGATTTTTGAAAGGGGAAGGATAAGTTATAAATTATTATTTGAGTATGCGAAGGATAAAATACCTATAAAAGTGTAATTTTTTTGTATTTAAAAAAATAAATAAATAAATAAAGATAATATTAAACGAACTTAAAAACTTTAAGTGGATAATTTGTTTTTTGTTTTTAATGTACAAAAATCAGCCACGTGACATCGATGGACTTACCGCCCATAGTTAAGTCTCAAAGGCAAAATCCTCTTTCAAGATCTCTCCAACTCTGAAAAATAGATCAATTATTATGTAAATGGATTGATCCATCAAAACCCCAAAGGGCTTAAAAGTAAATTTACAGAAGAGTAGGGGCAAATGCGGTCCAGAAGAGGATTTTTTGTTTTGGCACGTGTCTCTGGTGGACACCCCGTTTTAGTCGCACGCTTGGTTCCTTTCTTCGTCTCGTCTCCCTCACATCGCACACGCTTTCGCTTTCTCCCTCACACTCTTTCTCAGGTAACACAAATCCATCTACACCTTCTTCTTTTGTTTGCAAGAATGCGCACTCTCATTCGAATTCTTTATTCTATTTTCCGTTACTTTATTTCGACGATTTGTAGTTACTCCGACAAAAACGATGACTAATAACCGATAAATTCATTTTCGTTCGTTAGTTTATGCGACTTTTGATTTGATTTTCTTGCTTCTTCCTTCCCTCACATATTCATAATTTTTATTTCAAAGTTCATAGTAAGTGGAATTTTGAATAGAAATGGTTTTTTCCCTATAATTTTAATTTATATTTGGTTCGCTACCAGGGATTGTGATCGAAAATAAACAGTTTGTTGTGCTGTGTTATTTACTGCTTACACCTTCCGATTTAGTTCTGTGGATTTTGATTGCTGCCGTTGAAGAGTTGTGTTGTGCTTTGTTTTTGACAATGGAGTGTCTCATACTCTTAGGTCTTTTGTCAACTGTGTTGATTTTTGTGATGTTTCAGTTACTTCGAACACAGTAATCTTCGTTTACCATTTTGTATAATCCTGTGGTGAAATTGATTCTTTATAAATGAATTTTTCCATTAAGCGGGTCTAATAAATTGTAGATTTGAAAATTTTGTTGTGTATGTTCAAATTGTAGATTTGAAAATTTTGTCCATTACAGATTAAGCATACTCTGGATATGTTCTATTTAGCTTGTGTAGTAAACTGTAGATTTGAAAATTTTGTTGTGCAATGCAGGCTTTGCAAGTCTCAGTTTCCGTAAGTTATCATGAACACTATAATACATATTTTTGTTTGTATTTAGTTTGTCTTGTAGTTTGTGAAGTCATTGTAGGCAAATAACTTAGTTGCTTTGTTTTCATTGGATGTTTAAAGTAAACCAATGGGTATTATTACTGTTACTAGTAGTTTGTTAGGATGATGGATTTGGAATTACAGTTTAGAATTGTAATCTTAACTCCAATTCTGACAATTGGAACTGGTTTAGAATTATAGATTTCATGCATAGTTTGACACGGAATTAGGACTATAAGTACAATTTCAATTCAACTGTGTGATTGTAAGATCTAAAGTTTGCTAATAACTATGATAATGGGGGCAGGGTTGGCAGGGTGTTGGTAGTAAGGATTATAGTAGTGGTTATAGTGGTGGTTGGTGGCCATGTAGGAAGGTACCTGCAGTGGTGGTGGCAATAGAAAGGGGGAGAGCAGCTGCACAATGTTGGGGTGAGGAATTAACAACTTCAGGGTGTTATTTAGGTATTGTAAATGACTTGAGCTAGTTACTTTTTAATTCCCTTGACTGATCTTGGAATTTATGATTTGAATTTCAGAAGGACATGTAAATATAAAAATTAGAATTAGTTAATAGACACAATTCCAGTTTCAAGTGTGAATTCCATGCTCAACTCCAAAACGCCAAATTGACGCTTGTAGATATTTGCTGCCACATAATGATTAATCTAAATGGATGAATCATATCATTGGTAGTTGATTGAAGATATAAGACTATTTGTTTCAGGTTTCATATTTCTTTGATTAACCTGGATAAGGATTGTAATTCTTCCTTTTTTAACAAATTTTATCACTCATTTAAATTTATGATCTAGGAATACACATAATGATGCGATTTGGGTTTCAAGTTGTAATTTTTGTATAACTGAGAATTCTTATATGTCAAAAAGAAACTACCCTTTAATTTTCAAATTATGGACATGAGGTAATGGCTTTAAAGAAGAAAATGTCAAGGAAAACAGTTCTCATTGGTACATTTTATAGATGATCTTTTAGGCTTGAATTTGACCTTGAAACTTACCTATTACATTATTCCATTATTTTTTGCTGACATTTGGTCATACAATTATCACCATGAAACTTCATTTTCACTTAAGAAGTCAATAATCTTATTCTTTGGCTGAATTTGATTTGTATATGTATATTGAAACGTTTAAGAGTGTTCTCTTGATACTGTCCATGCAGATCCACATCTACTTCTGATGCTATTATCGATAGAAATTTCTAGCTTATTTGTTTTTCAGTTCAGTGCTCCCTCCTTTCCTTTACTAGTTGCTAGCTGGTGTTGTCAAATAGTGACAATTGCAACACCTTTGTCTTCTGCACGTTTTTTTCTTGTTCAACTCTTAAGTTAAGCTGTGGATATTTATAAGGGTTGGCTCACAGATATCATTGTTATGGTAATGAAAAAAGGGTTACATATGGACATGGAAAAAGATGGAAAAATGATTTATTTTAAGCTGAGACCAAAGAATGTTGTGCTTATTCCATGATAACAATACGATATTTATATACAAGAGAGCACCAATCCTGTACATTTAGAGATAAGAAACAATCTATCTAAATTTAAAAATGATTGATTTTTCCTTTGGTTAAACTATTCATTTGGTTTTTTAATTGTCTGTTTTTTAAGTCTTAGTTCTCACGGGAGAAACGTATTAGTAACTTGGGAGCAAACTCTGGTGGTATAAAACCGCTACCAAAACCCTTTGACAATGATATACCTCCACAAACTGACGATGTTTATAGGTACTGAGATCCTCTTTTGTTCACAATAAACAGGAGAATCCTGTTTTTAATAAAATAAAAACCAATTAAAACAACAAAAAGATAATGGAAAACATAAACCCCTGATCTAGTGGGATAATGGGTTGGTTAGTTTTTATTTCAACTGTGTATGAGTAAAAACACAGTAAATGGTTAAATCTATTTAACAGAACTTCTCATATTTATTGTAAACAAGAGGATCCAAATCCATTTTGGAGAATGTATTACGTAACCCTTGAATGGCTAGTCAGGTGTTCAGTCAGTCAAGTGGATGATAATATATATTAATAGGTAGAGGGGAGTTATTCATTGTGTTAATAGGAAGTGTTAGAAGTGGACTTTAAGCCTAACTCAACCCCACAAAACCGGCTTTTAAGGTGAGGTTTGCATCCACTTATAAACTATGAATTGGCCTTATCTCTAGTCGATGTGGAACTTCTAACACACCCCCATCACGCCGAGGTATATACATCTCGAGCGTGGGATTAGACATTTTTAATGGGTGGTCCGATAGCGGCCCATAGCGGGTGGAACAATATACCCAGCAAAAAACAAATATCGTTAGGATAGGCTCTAACCATGACTCTGATACCATGTTAGAAGTGGACTTTAAGCCTAACTCAACTCCACAAAACCGGCTTTTAAGGTGAGGTTTGCACCCACTTATAAACTATGAATTGGCCTTATCTCTAGTCGATGTGGGACTTCCAACAGGAAGTGTGGACGGGTGCTAAGGTACACTCCTAAATTAACCTAATGAAGTGCATCCAATTGTTCAACAATTGTAACTGTGCAGAGATGATAAAATTTCTTCTGTGCCTTGAGTGTTCTTCATTTTTCTCTCTTACCAGTTGGTTCTATCATAAGGATCTTTTACTTAGTTAATTCTTATTTCGTAGTCAGTTGGGACATCTGTTAGGACTTAAGCACAAGGAGAGTTTCAACCAAGAAGTATAGCCTATTAGGTGGGTGATCCTCAAGGCTTAAGTACTACATCATGTAGTTTATTCTACTCAATGTGAGACTTGTATTATTGTCATCCCCTTTAAGGGCCGATGTCCCTGATAGCTTTCACCCTATTGACAATGACCCAATGGTTACTAGTTTCTCTTTGTTGGCTTCAATCACGTATCTGAGTTTGGTTTGTGCCCTAATCTAGCTTAGACAGTTCTTTCCATAGCTCAACTCTGAATGAACGTACCAACTTTTAGAATTTAAGCATAGAAGAAACTTAACCCAAAAGACTAATCCATTAGATGAGAACCTCAAGATTTAAGTACCACATGAAGTAGTTTGTTCTAGTTGCTGTGAGAATTCTACCAACCTTCCATAAGAAGAAGATTTAGCAGTGATTGTACAACATTTAGCTTAGAGTCTTTCTCATTATTATAAATAAAGTTGGAGGATCATCTTAGTGTATATTTCAGCTTATCCATAGTTTAAGTGGCCATTTACACAATAAAACATATCCAGTTTAAGATTCCCTGATACTGTTATTTTGAGACTTAGGTGAACATAAACCCTATACTTGGTGTTGAGCTTATAGGGGCTTCAACATCTTCGGTAGGTCACTTCTTTGTATTGATGTTTTATAACCAACTTTAACTTATTTTTCCCTTCAAATATCAATTGACCTGAGGTGAGTGTATAGTGCTGTAGTTTCAACTTCAAATATGCAAATAGTTTCAACTTCTTGGGTAGAAAATGTGGCTGTACTGCTTTAGTTCGAAAAAAGTCTTGTAAGGTTTAACTAGTAACAACGTGTTTGGATATGCAATTGAAGATAAAATTTCACGTTCCAGTGCACCAAAACAGAAGCAACATTGCTGTTGCTTTAACCAAAAAGCTGGTTATGTTTAGTGTAAATTCGTTCCAAACATGCACTAACAATTGTCTATGGGGGACTATAACGGTTGCTAGTGTATGGTTCTGTGATGGTGTAGTGCCTCTTGTGTAGTGCTATATTCTTAGCTTTACCACTATAAAAACTGTATGTTGTGTCTTTCTGAACAGGATTTATTGTTCTTTGTAATGTTTTTTGTAGGAGTTTGTGATCTGAGCATAAAGATGGAGCTGAGTAGCATCAAAGATGCATTTGATCGTGTAGCCAAAAAGCAAAAATTATCCTCTTCCAAGTCTCAGGAAGTTGTTGACCAGGTGGGGCGTGAAATTGAGCAGGCATTGGCAGCAATTCAGTCATCCCGTGACCTCTCTTCTCCTGCTGACCAGAAATCCGTTCTCACAGAACTTAAGTTCAAGATTAATGCTATTGGACCACTTCAACAGTTGGAAGGTTCAAATAAGGAAGTGAACGGAAGTATTATCAAGTATCAAAGGCCCCTTGAAAAATTGTTAAATCCTGACATATCTAAGGCATACAGAAATGTGGACTTTGATACTCGTATTATCAATCAGATCATTGCAAACCACTTTTACCGTCAAGGTTTATTTGATCTTGGAGATAGCCTCGTAAATGAGGCTGGAGAGCCTGATGCAACTGCACTTAGATCTCAATTTTTAGAAATGCATCAGATTATTGGAGCTATGAGGGAGAAAAACCTTCAGCCTGCTCTGACATGGGTCTCTGCTAATCGAGAGAAACTTGATCATATTGGTTCTAATCTTGAGCTTAAGATTCACAGACTGCAGTTTGTAGAGGTCCTGCAAAATGGGACACGAGCTGATGCCTTAAAATACGCCCGAACTTATCTTGCTCCTTTTGCTTCCCTCAACAAGGACGAGTTCCCAAAGCTCATGGGTTGCCTCTTGTATGCAGGAAGGCTAGAGAGCTCCCCTTATTCTGAGTTGATGTCCCCAATTCATTGGGAGATGACAACTGAAGAGCTCGCACGGCAGTTTTGTACTCTCTTGGGGCAGTCCTATGAGAACCCACTGAGTGTAGCAGTTGCTGCAGGAGTTGAGGGGTTGCCCACCTTGTTAAAGCTGGCAAATGTAATGGCAGCTAAGAAGCAAGAGTGGCAGGAAATGAAACAGTTGCCGGTGCCTGTAGAATTGGGTAAGGAATTTCAGTTTCACTCCATTTTTGTTTGCCCTGTGAGTAGGGACCAAGGAAGTGAAGAGAATCCTCCAATGCTGTTGCCATGCTTACATGTCCTTTGCAAGCAATCAATTATGAAGTTATCAAAAAACAGCACCCGAACATTCAAGTGTCCATATTGTCCAGCCGAAGCGACAGTTACACACTGCAGACAACTGTATTTCTGATGATGTTTGTGTTCCGTACATTTCATTTGTGCAATACATCATTTACAGCTTTCTGGTTGTATATAAATATTCCAAAATATCTGTTACTTTTGATAAGACCAACGAGTGAATAAAAGTTGAAAGAACCTGTCTATATAGCCGGGAGCTCCGTCCATTCTACCGTCTCGCTCTTCTGTCTCAACTACTATTCAGATGCTTCATTGATTTTACTGCTACAAAATTTCCGACTTGGGTACTGCGATAGCATATAGCTATGTATATGTACTATATGATTGCGCTACATATTTTGTTTATTTGTCTCCAGGTAATTGGATTTCAAAGCAGCCACTGCTTGGACTATACTCATCATGGAATCATTCAAAGCGCTAGTTAATGACAATGGATTTTGTGACGTGAGCGATTAGATACAGCCGCAGTAGTTTTAATCATGTATCTCTGTTGATCATTTAGCATTCAGCAGTAAATTAATTTAGATCTATATGTCCTAAACATTTTGCGGGTTAACATGTTTCTTTTTAGTGCATTACGAGAAAGTATTTTATTGAAGAATTTTCAATTTAAAAGAATATATCTAAACTTGGCATCTTTGCACTTAATTTTTAAGTAGTCCTTCAAGGAAAATTATAGAAGAACACTCCTTCACTCCAAATATCATATTGCCACTCATAAGTTTTGTTTATAACGTTCCTCGTGTGACATCATTTATGGCATATACAATTTTCTCTATTATCTCTTTCTCTTATCCAGTATCAAATGACTAAAACAGATTGTGGTGTTCGCAAATCATTTTGGTCTTAATTTGGTTTTTCTTTTCTGGACTAAAACGAAAACGATCACGGAATACATGCATGACACCAGATTCCTTGTTCATTGTTTACAAAACCTCTTATCTGGCCTAGACAATGGATTGTTATAAGATACATGAAATATGAACAACTAAACTGGAAATAAATATGANGACGGGTGCTAAGGTACACTCCTAAATTAACCTAATGAAGTGCATCCAATTGTTCAACAATTGTAACTGTGCAGAGATGATAAAATTTCTTCTGTGCCTTGAGTGTTCTTCATTTTTCTCTCTTACCAGTTAGTTCTATCATAAGGATCTTTTACTTAGTTAATTCTTATTTCGTAGTCAGTTGGGACATCTGTTAGGACTTAAGCACAAGGAGAGTTTCAACCAAGAAGTATAGCCTATTAGGTGGGTGATCCTCAAGGCTTAAGTACTACATCATGTAGTTTATTCTACTCAATGTGAGACTTGTATTATTGTCATCCCCTTTAAGGGCCGATGTCCCTGATAGCTTTCACCCTATTGACAATGACCCAATGGTTACTAGTTTCTCTTTGTTGGCTTCAATCACGTATCTGAGTTTGGTTTGTGCCCTAATCTAGCTTAGACAGTTCTTTCCATAGCTCAACTCTGAATGAACGTACCAACTTTTAGAATTTAAGCATAGAAGAAACTTAACCCAAAAGACTAATCCATTAGATGAGAACCTCAAGATTTAAGTACCACATGAAGTAGTTTGTTCTAGTTGCTGTGAGAATTCTACCAACCTTCCATAAGAAGAAGATTTAGCAGTGATTGTACAACATTTAGCTTAGAGTCTTTCTCATTATTATAAATAAAGTTGGAGGATCATCTTAGTGTATATTTCAGCTTATCCATAGTTTAAGTGGCCATTTACACAATAAAACATATCCAGTTTAAGATTCCCTGATACTGTTATTTTGAGACTTAGGTGAACATAAACCCTATACTTGGTGTTGAGCTTATAGGGGCTTCAACATCTTCGGTAGGTCACTTCTTTGTATTGATGTTTTATAACCAACTTTAACTTATTTTTCCCTTCAAATATCAATTGACCTGAGGTGAGTGTATAGTGCTGTAGTTTCAACTTCAAATATGCAAATAGTTTCAACTTCTTGGGTAGAAAATGTGGCTGTACTGCTTTAGTTCGAAAAAAGTCTTGTAAGGTTTAACTAGTAACAACGTGTTTGGATATGCAATTGAAGATAAAATTTCACGTTCCAGTGCACCAAAACAGAAGCAACATTGCTGTTGCTTTAACCAAAAAGCTGGTTATGTTTAGTGTAAATTCGTTCCAAACATGCACTAACAATTGTCTATGGGGGACTATAACGGTTGCTAGTGTATGGTTCTGTGATGGTGTAGTGCCTCTTGTGTAGTGCTATATTCTTAGCTTTACCACTATAAAAACTGTATGTTGTGTCTTTCTGAACAGGATTTATTGTTCTTTGTAATGTTTTTTGTAGGAGTTTGTGATCTGAGCATAAAGATGGAGCTGAGTAGCATCAAAGATGCATTTGATCGTGTAGCCAAAAAGCAAAAATTATCCTCTTCCAAGTCTCAGGAAGTTGTTGACCAGGTGGGGCGTGAAATTGAGCAGGCATTGGCAGCAATTCAGTCATCCCGTGACCTCTCTTCTCCTGCTGACCAGAAATCCGTTCTCACAGAACTTAAGTTCAAGATTAATGCTATTGGACCACTTCAACAGTTGGAAGGTTCAAATAAGGAAGTGAACGGAAGTATTATCAAGTATCAAAGGCCCCTTGAAAAATTGTTAAATCCTGACATATCTAAGGCATACAGAAATGTGGACTTTGATACTCGTATTATCAATCAGATCATTGCAAACCACTTTTACCGTCAAGGTTTATTTGATCTTGGAGATAGCCTCGTAAATGAGGCTGGAGAGCCTGATGCAACTGCACTTAGATCTCAATTTTTAGAAATGCATCAGATTATTGGAGCTATGAGGGAGAAAAACCTTCAGCCTGCTCTGACATGGGTCTCTGCTAATCGAGAGAAACTTGATCATATTGGTTCTAATCTTGAGCTTAAGATTCACAGACTGCAGTTTGTAGAGGTCCTGCAAAATGGGACACGAGCTGATGCCTTAAAATACGCCCGAACTTATCTTGCTCCTTTTGCTTCCCTCAACAAGGACGAGTTCCCAAAGCTCATGGGTTGCCTCTTGTATGCAGGAAGGCTAGAGAGCTCCCCTTATTCTGAGTTGATGTCCCCAATTCATTGGGAGATGACAACTGAAGAGCTCGCACGGCAGTTTTGTACTCTCTTGGGGCAGTCCTATGAGAACCCACTGAGTGTAGCAGTTGCTGCAGGAGTTGAGGGGTTGCCCACCTTGTTAAAGCTGGCAAATGTAATGGCAGCTAAGAAGCAAGAGTGGCAGGAAATGAAACAGTTGCCGGTGCCTGTAGAATTGGGTAAGGAATTTCAGTTTCACTCCATTTTTGTTTGCCCTGTGAGTAGGGACCAAGGAAGTGAAGAGAATCCTCCAATGCTGTTGCCATGCTTACATGTCCTTTGCAAGCAATCAATTATGAAGTTATCAAAAAACAGCACCCGAACATTCAAGTGTCCATATTGTCCAGCCGAAGCGACAGTTACACACTGCAGACAACTGTATTTCTGATGATGTTTGTGTTCCGTACATTTCATTTGTGCAATACATCATTTACAGCTTTCTGGTTGTATATAAATATTCCAAAATATCTGTTACTTTTGATAAGACCAACGAGTGAATAAAAGTTGAAAGAACCTGTCTATATAGCCGGGAGCTCCGTCCATTCTACCGTCTCGCTCTTCTGTCTCAACTACTATTCAGATGCTTCATTGATTTTACTGCTACAAAATTTCCGACTTGGGTACTGCGATAGCATATAGCTATGTATATGTACTATATGATTGCGCTACATATTTTGTTTATTTGTCTCCAGGTAATTGGATTTCAAAGCAGCCACTGCTTGGACTATACTCATCATGGAATCATTCAAAGCGCTAGTTAATGACAATGGATTTTGTGACGTGAGCGATTAGATACAGCCGCAGTAGTTTTAATCATGTATCTCTGTTGATCATTTAGCATTCAGCAGTAAATTAATTTAGATCTATATGTCCTAAACATTTTGCGGGTTAACATGTTTCTTTTTAGTGCATTACGAGAAAGTATTTTATTGAAGAATTTTCAATTTAAAAGAATATATCTAAACTTGGCATCTTTGCACTTAATTTTTAAGTAGTCCTTCAAGGAAAATTATAGAAGAACACTCCTTCACTCCAAATATCATATTGCCACTCATAAGTTTTGTTTATAACGTTCCTCGTGTGACATCATTTATGGCATATACAATTTTCTCTATTATCTCTTTCTCTTATCCAGTATCAAATGACTAAAACAGATTGTGGTGTTCGCAAATCATTTTGGTCTTAATTTGGTTTTTCTTTTCTGGACTAAAACGAAAACGATCACGGAATACATGCATGACACCAGATTCCTTGTTCATTGTTTACAAAACCTCTTATCTGGCCTAGACAATGGATTGTTATAAGATACATGAAATATGAACAACTAAACTGGAAATAAATATGATGGCAAAATTTTCACCACGAGGAATCCTAACCCTAGCAATGATGTAACACAGAGCAGGCCATCAACAAATTCAGACCATCTACCATTTAACCCTTCAAATTTTACTGCATAAAGAATGGCGTACATTTCTTCTATAACGGCATGCAACCCCATGCCCAATTTGTTTATTTTGTAAGAGAAAATGAAAATTACAAGGAACCAAATTGAAGAATGAAGTCCAACTAAATGGAGTAACTGTCTACGGAAAACCAATAATCCTATTGAGTCCCGAAAAGAAGGAGGAAGAAGAACTAGGAGACTTGGGAGGTGCGTTCCCCTGTAGCAGATATTCCTCCAACATCGCTTTAGTGGACCTGGCGGACAAAGGATGAAAATGCGAACCCCACTCCTTAAGAAAAGCTTTCACCAAAACCAATTTCTCGTCTTCATCCATGCTGCTCCATTTATCTTGGGCCTGCTCTTCGTTGAGGCACATATACTCGCACAGCTCTCCGAAGAGGAGCTTTCTGCTCTTCCTCATCGCCTCATCCGCTTTCAACGAATGCGCGTTCATTCTCGCAACCCTAAGCGCATACTCTGACGCTAGCCTCGCGTCACTGATGCCGCCGTCACCAGCGGCGGTGCACGAGATTCGTGTGGTGATTTTGTAGGTGGAGAGAGTGACGGGCGAAGCGGAGTAGAAAAAAGGGGACGTGAGCTGAATTTTCAGAGCCATCGGGATAGATGGATTGGATTGTTTAGGAGGGGAGAGATTTAAGGTACGGTTCCTTCTTGTGGATTTAAGGATTGTTAATTTGTTACAAGCCCATAATTTCTTTCAAAAAGACAAAATTCTCCACACATCAAAAGTATAATTTCTTTTATGCTACTTTTGAAAAGGTTAAAATTATAGTAAATCAGAAATATTCTGGATGACATAATATTTTATAGATGGAAAAGGTTTAAATTATTAATAAATAAAAAGTATTTTGGATTTTTCTTGGCTAAAAAACTATTTTAGATTATACAATTTAAAAATATATTTTGTATTGCATGCTCTAAATTATATTTAATTTGTAATGTATTTTCAGATTTAAAAACACACACACATATATTCAAATAATTTAAAATACCTTTTTGATTTTGTATAATTTCAAAATATATTCTAAACTGTTGAATTTAGAAAAGATGTATACCTAGAAAGGAACGTTATCAATCTAAAAGTCTATAATACGCATTCAAAATCCACATTCCGATAATAGAGAAATTCAAAGTGTATTTTTAAATTAGGTTTTCAAATTTCATAATCCAAGTATCTAAAACATAGAAAATAATTATATATGAAATAATAACTTATAATATCACTTAATTATATAACTTTCTTAAATAATTATCTCATTAGTAGAGTTGGACATGATTAACCTAAATATACTAAACTATAGATTATCTATATTATATTATACTATAAAAACTGAATTATTTTCATTAAAAACTGAATTATACTATTTTGTAGTTCAATTTATAAAAACTGAACTTTTTTATTAGTAGTTCAGTTAACTGTTTTAAAACAGTAAGAAAATACAACTTCATTAAAACAAACTGCAGTTACACCCAAACATAATGAAGACATACTATTTATTTTTTTATCAAATAACTTATTGAAAAGTGATTTTAAATAAAAAAATATCCTAAATTAAATTTCTAAAAGAACAATTTTAAGTATTAGTTTTAAAATAAAATATTCTAAGAATTTAGATAAACTTTTCAAACTTGTTCGAAATAGTTTTAAGACAAAAAAGAACACATTTAATACTATTTACAAATTGGTATGAATTATTTTTTTCTCATAAAACATGCAACTTAGTTATTTATATTAATTTATATTTGTATATCCTACTTTTCATAATTATATATCATATTCGTTTATTATTATTTTTATTTTTACTAAAAATTATTATACTATTAAAATTTATAAATGGATAGATTTTGACTAAGGTTTTTCTTATCAATTTTTTTTATGTAATCTATGCAATTAAATTTTATTTAAGTTAAGAATTTAAATAAACTTTTCAAACTTATTCTAAAATAGTTTTAAGATAAATAAAAAAGAAAAAACACATTTAATACTATTTACAAATAGTTATGAATTATTTTTTTCTCATAACTTAGTTATTTGTATTAATTTATATTTGTATATCCTACTTTTTCATAATTATATATCATACTAGTTTATTATTATTTTTATTTTTACTAAAACTTATTATACCATTGAAATTTACAAATGAATAGATTTTGACCAAGGTTTTTCTTATCAATTTTTTTAATGTAATCAATGCAATTAAATTTTATTCAAGTTAAGAATTTAAATAAACTTTTAAAACTTATTCTGAAATAGTTTTAAGATAAAAAAAAAGAAAAACATGCAGTTTGTGTATGTTTGCGATACCAAGACGAATTGCAGTTTACTTTGGTTACTATTGTACGGTTTACCATTTGAAACAGTTAATTACTAATAGAAAAGTCCAGTTTTTTTAAATTGAATCGCAAAACAGTATAGTTAAATTTTTAATAAAAATAATTTAGTTTTTATAGTATAGATATAATTTAGTATAGTAAGGCTAATTATGTAATTGCCTGTAATCGAAGACTGTTTTCATCTTGATGTGTATCATTTAGACTTTATGCTTTAGCTTTAATTTTAAACTGTTTTACAATTCATAAGCATGTATATTTATTTTGAAGTGTACAATAAATAGTTAACTAAACTGTGAATTAAAAAACAATTTACTGAATTATATTTTAGTTAACTGAACTAAAAAATAGTTCAACTCAGTTTTTTTAAACTATTTTCTAGTTCAATCCAGTTATTTGAACTATTTTGTAGTTAACTATACTTGGTTTGTAGTACAGTACAAACAATGCAGTTTGTCCACCCTTACTCATTAGTCGATCTATTTTATTAATTATTGGTGTACTAATAATGAGTTAGCAAAGTTTAGATAACCATGCTTATGATCAGTTGACATAAATTTCGAAAAGATAAAAAGATAAGAGCATTTGGAGTCATACATTTAAGATTTACTTTTTATAAATAAAGTTTTAATGAAATGTGCTAGTGTAACATGAAAAATTTAAAATTTAAAATCATAAGTCTTTCTTTCTTGGCGCAATTTAAAATGTCTTAGTCTGCATTGTTAATTTTAGTTAATCCGGATTTATTTAGTTAAAAAGTTAAAAATATCAGTAAGATAATAAAATAGTTTAAATACAACCATTAAATTTTTTTTAGGCATGCAATTTGATTAAGTAATATGTTTACTATTTTATATAAATAAATAATTGCTTACAGTTTATTTTTATTTTTAATAAATTATGAAAATCATTTTTTATTTTGATATTTTTTTACGTTTAATTCACTAATTTGATTTTAATATTTTTCTCTTAAAAATGTTGTATTTTTATGAATGGTTACTGAAGTTACCGAGTAAAACATGCTTATAACGCTGGTAACAACATCAGAGAAAAGAAACGAAATCAAACTAATATTATTTAGCAGGTTGTTCTAGTCAGCGGGAAGAGCATGAGCACAGTTACAGCTGGTGTAAAGAGCAGCATCTCAACCTTGAAGCCATCTTTTGCTTCTTCTTTACGCTCTCGTCGCGTCTCATTTCCACTCCTTTCTCCTCGTTCCGCTCTCCGCTTCTCCGGTAAGATACCTCCTCACTCACATCGATTTTCCCTCTCTTCCAATGGCCACTCAAATTCCGTTTTCCGTAGTTTGCGCGTGTGTCAGAGAAGCACGTTTAGGTTATATTTGGTGTGAGAACAGAAGATCTACCGAAGCAGGATCAGAGAATTAGGAAACAAATAATTGAATGATTGCAACCTATCGATTTGATTCAACTGTAACAGTATACTGATAATCGTTGAATTGATGTTGATTTAAATTTCCTTAAATCGTTCTTGCTCTCGACGTGATTTCATGTGCATAACTCATTGTTTAGTGAATTACTTGTTCGGAACACTTATGATTACGGTATTATTATTATTTTTAATTTTGATGTTAACGTTCCGACTGTGGCTTGGATTCTGATACTACATATTTTGCTTTTACTTCTCGTTCTGTTCTGTTGCGTGAATGTTTGCAAGGCTTGTCAGAGAATATGGATTGCGGTGATGGTGGTCCATGCGTGTTTCCTTTGCACCGTTGCAAAACCA